AGTGCACGTGAACAAAGTCAACTATTGGGCGGCCATACGTTGAATTACTCGTCGCAAGGGGAGATGTCTAGGTCTGAAGGGACGGCGTGGTTGCCTGCTGCTGCCCCAAAAAGGAAGTCTGCACGACGGCGCATCAGTAACGATTCTTTAGGAAGCGCGTCCACCCGAGTAATTCCCTCACCAAGCGCTTCACCAAAGGTATCCATTAGCGCTAGGTTGGCGTCCAGCCCTAGGGCCAGTTCAGGATCTGATGCCAAAGGCCAAAGTCCTGAAGACTGGCTGTCCCGAGATGTAGAAGGAAGTTCCCCAAAAGCAGAAGAGCAGGGACCCCCAGGGGGACAATCCTTGCATAATAGCCCAATACGCATGGGGCTAACAGACTGTCCAGAAGACGCCTCAACAAGTGAAGCAGCAGTACATACAGGGGCATCATTTGAATCCGATGATGGTGGGGCGGCGGGATATAACTCATCTAAAGTTGCCGAGCAGGGTGCACACAAACTGGCATCTGATCAACAACTGCTGCAACAGGAAAGTTTAGCGAGGGACGGGGCGCAGCAGGAGGAAAATGTGGTGGACTCAACTACAGGTGCCGAGCAGGATGCAGGCAAACTGGCATCTGATCAACAACTGCTGCAAGAGGAGACTTTAGAGAGAGAAGGGGAGCAGCAGGAGGAAAATGTGGTAGACTCATCTACGGATGCCGAGCAGGGTGGAGCCAAACTGGCATCTGAGCAAGAACTGCTGCAAGAGGAGACTTTGGTGAGAGGAGAGGGCACTTTGGTGAGAGACGGGGCTCAGTCGGAGGAAAGTGTAGTAGACTCGTCTATGGGTGCCGACTCGACTATGGATGCCGAGCAGGGTACAGCCAAAATGGCATCGGTTCAAGAACTGCTGCAAGAGGAGACTTTAGTGAGAGAAGGGGCGCAGCAGGCGGAAGAACGGGTAGATGATGTTGGTGATGTTTTACAGCCCTCAACATCTGCAGGTCAAATGGTGGCAAATGTGATTTCAGAAGAGGAACTGGCTGCAGAAGGGAGGGACAGTTTTCATCCTTTTGTGCGACTCCCCAAAGTAAGTCCCAAAAATGTCACGAAAACCTTCGATGGCTTTGGTGCTTTTGTAAGCAAGATCCCTAAGGGCGGTCCAATGTCAAATTTCCTTTCGATGCGCGAGTTATTTGCCAAGCCTTCGTTAAACGCCAAAGATGTACAGCAGCTGATGGCTGACTGCACAGGCTTGGTCGCCTATGCGTGCAAGAAGCTAGCCGGTCCCCCTTCTAGGACGAATGCGTTCTACATTGTTAGAAAGCTGGCGTCAATGGTCATGGTTTTTGACTACGTGGTGAGTACGCTGGTGCTCCTAGGGAAGAAAATGGATGCCAAAATCTGGTGGTCAGATTTCGTTGGACGGTTCCATACGGATTTTAATTTTGAACCAAGGACTAACACGCAGCGTGTCACCGAAGGTATAGTTGAGCTTATCCAGCAGTTAAGTGCCGCACTGACTATCTACAAGACGGGAAAGCGTCCATCAAATGGAACTGTAATTCAATTGAAGAGGGATATCCTCTCCAACCTGAGAAACAGCTGCATTTTTGAGAATCCCTCGTGGATTCTCTGGGAAGAGGATGACTCTCGCTTCAAACAAACTAGTGCAAGTTCTAAAAAGTGAATCCAAGGGCTCATTAGACAACTGGCACGCTTACAAGACTCCGCGGTGCCTCCCTTCCTGAACCCGAAACACCAGTGCATTTTTATCGCGTGTGTTGTCTGTAGCTACTGCTACGCTCCTGCGTCGTTTGTACGTGAGGGACTATTTACCATCAGTCTTCCTAGGGCATGCTGATGCCTTCAGCAGGCATGCTACGTGCAGTTGGATATTCCCAACCCACGAAACGTTGCCTACAGGGCTGTTCTACAGCTCATTTGGAGTCGTGGCAGCGATGGCAACACCAGCTGATGGTTCGGGAAACACCGCACTCGTTCACTTTGTGTCTACTATTTGTGACTACTAGTGCATAACGTCCAGAAGGTTGCCTTTGAATGAACCGAGGGATAGCAGATGACCTAAAGCTTCGTAATAGTAATTAGTTTGTGGGATCGCTAGTAACGACTACTTGGGTAGCTGTTGCTGCTGCAGCAAGCTGCGCTGCCAAACAGTTCGTATCCGCTTCACGGCGTCAACAGTGCCATCTGATATCTGCCACCTTTGGCAACCTACTGCTGAGGCGAGAGCTAAGCAGCAGCTCCTGTGCGCTGCAGCACGCTCCACCCAGATCGTCATGCATTCTGATTTTCCAGTAAATAGAAGGGGTCTTCTGGAGCACATACTGCTACTTGTTAGCTTTTGTAGTTCCACTTGACTTGGCCTGCAGGCTACTCTTCAGCAGTAATGATTGAAGGCACGTCTTGTGGAATGCGTATACCTCTTCTGGCAAGATATTGCAATACCCGCAGCGGACAGCGCAGACCCAGATGCGCTGGCCTCTACTATTGTTTTATTCCAGTCAAGCACTAGGGATGCAGAAGAATTGTGAAAAAAGAAGCCTGTCCTGACCCTCGGTTTGCACGGATTCTGTGCAGGCATGTAGCCCTATC